CTCAAGTTTTTCACGAACACCAACGCATGCACGACGTGAAATTTAGGAGAAAATTTTCCTTTTTCTCACTCAATAAAACCGGCCACTATATAGTAGGGAGAGTAAAAATTTTCTTCTCTAATTTTCTGCAATCTTCTATTTATAGAGTAGATATCAGACTCCTTGAAGAAGTCTAAACTTTATCTCCAAGATAAATTTGATAATTATCTCTCACTTCTATTTTATTTTGGAAACAAAATCCCTTCTCTCTCTTATCCATAGGGGCCGGCCACCACAAGGATATTCCCCTTTATGGTTGGTACAAATTATAAATAGGGAAGGAAAAAAAATCTCCTTTATCGTACAGTCTAATTTTGACTCAAATTCAAATTCCAATTAAAGTCAAACTTAATTTAATTTGAATTCCAATCGGACAACTTATCAAATAAGTCAATTGGATAACTTAAAGAACAAGCAGCTGAATCCCAGAGGGATTCTCATAGTGCTGGGCATGTACACCATGTGGACTCCTCCACATGTGTGTTCCAAAATTTAAATAATCACCTTATTTAATTTATAATTAATTCTCAATTAATTATTCTTGAGCGTTCTATTTAAAATTGCATGATTCTAAGATTCTCATTTTACTCTTAGTGTCTTGTAGTATTACAAGGACTACGCGGGAACTCATGGACCTATAATTCTGAGCTCCAATAAAATTAATAATTAATTAAAACTCTTTAATTAATTAATTAATTCTAAAAGTTACTATACTATTTGATATTGCACTCTCGTAATTATAAATATAATTTACTTCTAAACTATAAAGTGTCCATTTGATATAGCCATTACATATAGATCAATCCTCCATAAATAATTCATAATTAGAGTTAGGTGAAATCTGTTAACCTCTCTAATTACATCTTTATCATTGAGTACCATTGATTCTCTAATGGACAGTGATTCATAAAACAAATTCATGAATTGGAGGTCCTACTAGTCCAAGTACCAAATCACTCATCAAGAAAATTCTTTATCTACTTATTTCTCAAGAGGGAATGGATTCCATCTCGTATATTATCATTCCCGACTACCTATTTCATCATGTCTCCTAAATACAAGAAATAAGATTCAACATTTCAGAATCCGTACCAAGTAAATCAAAAGATACATATCTATAAATAAGAGTATGCTAATAACTCAGGATTAAGATCATTCTATATATGATCATCGATAGACTCAATTAGAATTCTTATATTTTACGAAAATTATCACAATTTCATGTTGTGTTTGTGTCCTAGTTTCACACAATCTCATTATGCGTAATACACTCATTTAATATCTCACCATATTAATAGTGCGGATAACACCGTTCCATTCTAAATTGAAATGACATGTAGTAGTAATGTTTTAATCAAATATTCCGAACTTTAATTAAATTCATTACGAACATCGTTTTGATTATTATCCTTAAATATTATCCTCTCGCATATAATATTTATATACAATATTTAAGGTTACGTAAATAATCATAGAATTTTCAATGATATTCATAAAATATTCAATAATATATGCAAATAAAATAATGAATAAACTCTTTTATTAAATAAATAATAAATATCCTATTACATTTCATTATTCTAGAACACCATTCCCAACATTGTCGAAGTAAAGCCGTCAAGAATTCCAAAAGCCAGGATCGAGCTTACCTGTAGAGAAGTACTAGGTAAGAGAAAGATCATTTGGATGAGGAGTCCCCAAGCAGCTGTGTGATTGTGGTCAAGAAGTCCCAAAAAGGTCATAAAGATGTCTACGTAAAGAAATCGACAAGTCCGAGATCAACTTAAAGCCTACCAAATCAGGAGAGGATAACTCTTATCTTATATTCAACTTCAACTAAAAGAGCAGATATAGATTATCAACTACAACCATGTATTTAAATTCAAATAATTAAATGTGGAGATAAAGCTAAGTAAATCCTTATCTAAAAAGGGGATAAAGAAGCTTATCTCATGATGTGATTTAGAGATAGAGATATAATGTACAAGAGAACCTATAAATAAAGAATAAAATCCTCATTTAGTTTATATGCACAATTTTTCGCTCTGAGAGAGATTCCTTGTATTCCTTGAGATTTATTGCATACACCAATGGACGTAGACAATAATATTCTGCCGAACCACTATAAATTTTATGTCTTCTTTACTTCTTATGCATTTACTTTTTGCTTAATTCGTGTAAATTAACGCGTAAATGATCTATAATGAGGCAAATTCTGAGTTGATAAATTTTCACCGTCAACCATGGATACCCGGAATTTACATAGCCTGTAAAATAGGGGTTGCAATTCGGGTTGACGGGCTGTGTTCGTGTCGTGTTGACCCTCTCAGTTGACACGAATAGGTTTGACATGAACACGACCTATTTATTAATCGTGTCGAAATACAAAACCCAAACACGACCTGTATATTGGCGGGTTGACACGACACGACACGAATAACCCGTTTATTTAACAGGCCATAAACGTGTCGTGTCAACCTGTTTATAAAATAGGTGATAAATGAGTCGTGTTAACCTATTTATGAACCTGTTTATAAAATAGGTGATAAATGGGTCGTGTTAACCTATTTCTAAACCTATTTTTTAATCTGTTTATAAAATGGTTAATAAACGAGTTGTGTATTCGTGTTACCCAAATATGACACGTTTAATAAACGGGTTATGACATGTCAATTGCGGGTTGGCGGGTCAATCTGAAAATGACACGTTATTTAATCGTGTTTTACGGGTTCGACCTGATTTTGACCCGTATTTATTTATGATAAACTCAAATTCACTAATTTCATGCAGATTTCAAGTCGTATCATCGTGTCGTTACTCAGATTGCCAGCTCTACTGTAAAACGAATAATGTCCGCCAATCAAATGTTATACATGTAGCAATGTTGACACTTGACAGTTCTATGGGCCTAGCTGCTTCCTGACTTGAAGTGGTGCATTCTAGGCCTGTAAGCGGGCTTCATGAAGACAGATTTATTAGTGGAGCTTACCTATATAATCCGTCAAGAAAAAAGCAAATATTCTTTTTTCTACAAGCAAATGCTGGATTCAGAATGTCCGGCACTTTCCTGACCCAAACATATCTTCCTGACCCAAACATACATTCCATTCCGTTTCTCTCCTCTAACTCCCACTTTTTAGGGCCCGTTTGATTTTAAGACTTAAATTATGAGTCTGATTTTACTCTCTCACAAAAAATTTAAACAAAAAAAGTTCTCCTTAGTGAATTTTCTCACAAAATATAAATTTAAAATCAAAATTATAAATTTAAACGTGTGAACTAAACGGCCATTAGTTCTTCTTCGGTTACTTCTTAGTCCTACTCCCTACTCCGACCACCTCTTGAAAGGTAATTTCTATACTTCTAATTATAAGCGTCTTCATTGGATAGGTTGTAACTAAACGGCCATTAGTTCTTTTACGGAAGATCCTTATGAAAAGAAAAATACTTATTCACACATCAAAAATGATCAATGACAATTAATTTCATCAAACAACAAGAATCTTCCACCTCTTCAGATGATAATCATCATTACCGGCAGCTCTTGTTTGTCAACAAAATTAGCCTCATGTTTTTGTAGGCTCAAACGTATCTGAGTATGGACCAACTTTTGTTCATATATGCTGCTGCTTTATAGGCAAGTTATATCAAGATTGCCCAGAAATTTGGTCTTAAATAAGCACAAAAACTCAACAAGTTGCAAAAGACAGATCACTAAAAGGTAAGTTATCAAGATTGCACAACTTCCATAAATAGTAGACTGTTTAATATTTCTTGATAGAAGTAATACTTTGAGATCAATCGCGTAGATTAGGGACTGTGGCAGAATAACGGATTGCTATTCGACTGTTGCATGTGCTCAACCCAAGTCCAGACTAGTAAAAGGCACAAATTGAGGCCCGTTTAGTTCGCTGATTCGAGTTTTTAATTGAGTTGAGATGTAATTTTACGTGAGAGCTTTTTACTGTAGCAAAAAAGTTAGATGTGATTATTTGTGAGAGCTTTTTACTGTAACAAAACTCAAATTCTAAACTTGAATCAGCGAAATGAACGGGACATCAATGTCTATTTAGCAAATAATACAGTAATAGATAAGAAGCAACAAATTACATATATAAATAAAAATCTGTCCCAATATCTCTGGGGTGAATTAGAGGATGGTTTTAGAGAGTTGGGATTCTAATATGCTACTTTTGTGGAAAGATTTGACTATAAGTAGTACGGATGAATAACTAGACTCTCATAATGGTGTAATTTACATAACATCTACAAGAATGTAGGAGATAGCATATTTTTCAATTGCTTTTTGAGTAAATATCATATTCTTGGAACGATTAAAGTAAATGATATATTTACTGGATCTAAATAATTTATCTATTAGTAAATACAAATAAATAATTTACGTTGGTTCAATAAATTATTTACTAATAAATATGCTATTTACTTTAATCATTTTAAAAATATGTTTTTCACTTGAAAAATATGTTTTTACTTCAAAAATGTTTCAAAAATATGCTATTGCCTTAAAAGCTTCAAAGCTATTTGCCTTTTTATCTTTGATATCTAGAGAAAAGAAAATAAATACTCCATAAATAGTACCCTTTATGTTTGTCCTACAAACATTAACCCGTTAATTTTTAGTTATATAACTATATTAATTTTAGTTCATTTACAACTAGTAAAATATTTTTTTTTTCACATAAAATCAAATGGTAAAAAGAATTTTTTCCATATAAATTTTTTTTAAGATCTTTTACACGCAAGTTATTTTTTACCAACCATAAATGAATTATTTACAGTAAATAATTCATTTCACGTAAATTATTATTTACTTTAAATCGTTTTAAAATCTTTTATTTACTTAATTTAGTTTTAAAAATATGCTATTTACTACGGTTTCCCACTAAAGAATTCCATAAAAACTACAACAAAATGAAAAACACAATCATAAATGTGCAAGAGATCAACACTACACAAACAATAGTTTCCTATTAAGCTTCTATTATTACAAATATAGGTGTATAACAAATGAGGACAAATTTGTTTGATATAAACTTCAAATGAAGAAATTATAGAAGACCACCTATAAAACAGACTATTACCAGTCAAACCAAACCCTTCATCCAAGAAATGAAACTCAAATATGGAAGTGATGGAGTGGACAAAAAATCGATGCACGGGAGTTCAGACAGTCACATCTAAAACAAAGTGAACGATTGAATGGAGGTCACTATGATCACATAGATGAAGAAGCTATTTGTAGGTTCCCATACCAACACCGGTTTCTCCACCACCGTACGGCTGGAATCTGTCTCTGGCGCTGGAATAGCAAACGTAGTAGAACTCCGAGACTATTGCGGTGAAGAAGACGAAGGCTGCGCCAGCAGCAAAAACTCCTTTTCTCACGGTCTCACAAGAGGGAGGGTTATCAATGCTGAACATGGTCCTGTACTTGGTATGGTAGGCATTCCTCACTGAACCCGCCAACAAGCACACTTCAGCAATGAGGAAAAATACCCTGAAAGAAATTCATATACGGGTAGAAATTAGATAATAAGATAAAAACTCTTGTGGAAAAGTGTAAGGTATTAAACTCTCAAATCTTATTTCCTGTTCAACCAAAGTACTCGTGTAAATTGTTACCTTGTCTAGAATTTGAAATTTACGGGTTAGTTTTATAACTTTATCATACTCACCTAAATTGACCTTACAAAAAAAATACTAATCTAAATTGAGACATGGCATGACATGACAGAATACATGATTGAGAAAGAAAAAAGTTACTATTTTGTACCGTGCAGTTTAAGCTTATTAAAAAAGTATACCTTGCAATTTGGACGTTCTCAACAATTGTATGAATCCCAGACCTTGTGGGCCAAAACCAAAGGCCCGACCATTCCAAACCAATACCCCATGGGTTAACCCTTTCATATCAAATTTATACCTTCTTTTGATCAAATTTTGATGTTGATCCCTACAATGGCAACTTTACTGGTTGTGAGTTATAGAGTGAACCATTTGATGATACTCTTTAAAGGGTAACGCTGTTTTAAGTGGTCAAAATCAGCATTTAACCAATAGAAGGTATAGATTTGATGTGAAATTAAAATCTAAGGTTACAATTTTGAGAACATCCAAAATGTGCGGTGCATAATTTTTAATAAGCTTTAAATGCAGTTAAAAGAAATAGTAAAACACCCAAAAAGAATGAGGATTAAACTAAGCTAGTTGAAAACAGAAAACTAAAGCGAGATATTTGAGAACAAGAAATGGCAGATCTTTGGTAACGGTGAGTTGTGACATACCAGCAGACTATGAAAAGGACAACTGCCCAGGCCCTTGACCCTCCAGGGCTCAATGGTTTTCCACAGCAGAAGCATCGGCTTGCGATCATAATGAGGACCTGACTTAGCATGAGGAATAAAAATGCTCCAACCCCATATCCAGTTGCAATGTCTGAGCCATATTGGCAGTAATCGTAGTTCTTTTCATTGTCTGTAACAACCCACCCCTGTCATATACAAAAAGTAATTGGATCAAATTATTTTGCAGAGACTACTTACACTACAAACATTTAACATTTTTCTTCTTTGATTCCTGGCTCACTTATTCCTTAAACTTTTCGCCATTGTGTTGGTACAATGGGAAATTGCTTTATTGAGCAATGACATACAGGAATATTATGAATGGATATGTGTTAAAATTCTGTGGACTATGTAAAACTGAAATAAATATTGTCCTATTTTTTTAATCCCTAATAAGTTATATTTTAGTTTTATGTCGTGTATTATTTTCCATGACAAAAATGTGAGTGGTGCATAAAGTGAATTTAAAGAGAAGTTTTCGGTACAACAACCAATACTCACATTTGTCTAGATCTTACCATAATCATGCCTTATTTGATATCACTTTTAATTATTAATTTAATTTTTCTTTTTAAAATAGAAATCTCACAAGTCATAACCGAGGTCTCAGAAGATCCCACCGATTTATCCACCGATTTTATTTATTCTTTTAATTTCAAAATAGAAAAAAATAAAAAGAGTTGCAAACAAGCCTTAGCCCCCTTTCGTTCATATACTTAAACCCATTATTCTGATCTGTGAGTGTTCTTCATCTCACAAAGAATTTGAATTTAAAAATTTCTGTTCCCGCTAATGAATCATAATTGTTCTTGGCTTGAACGCGTGAACCAAACGAGCTCTTAATAACCAACACCTCTGAAGTCAGAACTAGAAACCTGAATATATAGTTGCAAAATCCTCAAGAACTAGTTTCTCAATAAAATTCAGATGAACATCGAACTCTAAAGTGTTCATATGCGGAAAAAAAGGACATATTTGAGATAGAATCATCTAATTCTATTATGTTCAATTTACATGAAGGAGTTCGCCATTTTCTTGACAAATGCAACCGAAAAACCATATTTTTCCATAGATCTGAGCTTATTTAGTCTATAGACAAAAACCCTCGTGTTATATTCAAGTTGCCTTTTGATTTTTGTTTAATAGTCCTAAACCCACATAGGATATTCGAATTTCTTCATTTTCTCAGCAAGCAAACAGAAAAACAAAGCATAGCTCAGAAAGATACTCACTTTGCTTCTTCTCTGCTCAGCTGCAACGGCGAGACCAAAAGCAATGACGTCTAAGATGAAGACTGTAATCAAAAGCAGCTTCGACGCCATTTCCGCACAGCTTCACACCTTCCTCTCAGATCTACTCTCTCTCTCCTCTCTCCCTCTCTGACCTACTTCTTCACCTCTGTCTCTTTGTCTCTCTAAATAAGAAAAGCAAAAACTGTGAATAAAAAATATTAAAGAACAAAAGAAACTGAAAATAAATCAGATTTGCTGTTTCTTCCATTACCAATAGATAAGTACCTTCCACCAGTAGACTGAAACAGCGTACTTACCAGCAATAGCTAATTTCCTGAATTACCCTTCCGGTCAAATTTCAAATGGCAATTGTACCCCCACTTTATTGCAAATTCTAAGGGGTCGTTTGTTTGAGTCTGATATAGTGTAAAACTCTCACATAAATTTTTAATTTCAAATGTCAAAATTAAAAATTATTAGTTTGAGTATACTTTACAAACAAACCCTAAGTTCCATGCTTGGCCGGATTAATGAGTAATTGGACTTTTTGTTAGAGCAAATAGTATTTTAGAATTTAGGTACTTAAAATAACAAGCAATGTGCTAAAAAAGATCAGATAAAAGATTACTGGTTCGTTTTTTCTCATTAAAAATACTCGTCTAGGTGTCCCGAAAAAATTTATTATATAAATTGACAGGTTAGCCCCTATTGTACATCAAAAATTGAGGTATGAATTAATTATGCCAGCACCGAGACCGATATTAAAATAAAATCCATGTGAAACATATCAAACTAATGAAAACAAGACAACCCCTTTAATTTAATATATGTCTTTGTAACTCTTGAGAAAAAGAAAAAAAGAAAAAATGTCTTTGTAATTGAAATCTCTTTTAAAAACCGTGTCATATTTAATCTGAGAATTTTGTGATTTAGTAGGATAAAAATTTAAACTTTTAAATAACATCACAATCATATAAGAATAAGAAAAATGTGATAATTTTATTGGAATTCAAGGAATATCTAACAATATATGATTAAATTTAACGATAAAATAATTTTGTATGATGTTATAAAATTCTCAATTAATTTATGTCTTGATTTGTTTTCAGTTTTTCAGATCTTAGGGGTTGTTCTTTTGCCTTTTTTGAGCTAGGTGATTTGAGTGTAGATTTTGAGTTGAGTTTGAGTTATAACTTGAGTTGAAGTTGTAACTTGAGTTTGTGATTGGTTGTGTACATTTGAGTTATGGTTTGAGATAAGAATCTTTTTGAGTTTGTGTTTGAGTGAGTCAAAACTTAAATTTGTATTTAGATAGTATTTTAATAAAAACTCAATGTTGATGAAAAATTTTAATAGGGTATATGGGTGGGGTTTTATTCGTCTTTTCGTTGTCAACGCATAGAAAAAAATCATCTCAATCAGAATTAAAACGAAAAAGTGCATTTTTAAGAATAGAAAAAATATTGTTCATTAATTTGAGTTTGAGTTTCTGAACTCGAGTTGAAGAGAAAACTTGAACTCGAGTTTTAGTCTCAAACTCGAGTTCAAACTTAAAATAACACAAACTTAAATAAAATTATAACTCGGGTTACTTTTTTTGAGTTTTTAACTTAAAAAAAGCTACCAAACAGCCCCTTGAGTTTTAGTCTCAAACTCGAGTTCAAACTTAAAATAACACGAACTTAAATAAAATTATAACTCAGGTTACTTTTTTTGAGTTTTTAACTTAAAAAAAGCTACCAAACAGCCCCTTAGTAATTTTCAATGTAAAGTGCGTCTGCACCATATTTTGCCTTCCGAAGATATATATATATATATATATATATCTACACATGGTTTTTGTTTTCCTTAACTTGCAATTAACAAAAGTAAGAAAACTAAAAGTAGGTGAAATATGCGTCTTTCGAGGAGAAGAATAGAAGAAGGGTAATTTGGGGATTATAATGATAAAAGGGTAATTTGGGGATTTGAGAATATGTGTATGGGATTATTGGGGTATAGTCACGGTCCACACTAGAAAGGAAAATAAGATCCAACCGTTGATGATGACTTCCACCCATAAAGAAATCGCTGATAATGATTTCAGATGCGAACCATTGTCGGTGGGCAAAAATGTGTGATCTGCAAAATGTTGTGAAACTGAAGAGAGAGAAGAGAGCAGAATCGATGCTTCTTCAGCGTAAAGCTTAACAACTTTACTATTACTATTATTATTATTATTTTTTTATTTTTTTTATTTTTACAATGTGAGACTTTATTCCTTAGGTGTGCTTATCAATCAGACTAGTTTTTAGTCGTTTAAATCTTATTAAAATTTAGGGAGTTTTTTTTTTTTTTTTCTTTTAAGAACACTTATATTTTTTATTTTTTAATCGTTAGATCTAATTAAAATCACATTAAATTAAAAAAGTATGCATAATAAACATATTTTGATATAAATTTGACGTTTAAAAAGCATGAAACATCAGTGTTCTTAAAAAGCAGGTAACGCCGAAAATGTCTTTAAAATTTATTATTAAAAAAATATGCAGAATAGATAATTTTTAATATAAATTTAACGACTAAAATATAAAAAATTATAGATAGTTTATTTTACTGAGAAACTCCAAAAAAATATTTGAGAATCTTTTTTTTATTATTTTGTGATTAAATATTTAAGAATCTTACATGATGTGAGAAAATACACTAATAATGAATTATTAGGAAGTTTTTTTAGTAGGTCAACGTACTGATAGGAACAGTTTTTTAATCGTTAGATAAATTATATCAGATTAAAAAAATATATAGAACGAAAAATTTTTGATACATATTTTACGATTAAGAAACAACAAACTACTGATAGTTTATTTTTATTAGTTCTACCAGAGAGGCTCCAAAATTAACACTTACGAACCGTTAAATTTTGGTTGTTTGGTTGGGGGATTCATCCCCTGATTCGAATCATGGTTTGTGGTTCGCTACAGTATTTTCTCTCATAAAAAATACACGTAAATTAAAAATAGTTCGGTTCTAATCTATAAACCAAACGTTAAGTATGATCTTTAGTTCGATAGGCTTACAGTACTGTAGGTATAACATTGTCACTTTTTGTTGTAATATAATAATAATAAAACAAGCAACATGTAACGTGATATGAAATTATATTTTATCAAGTTTATACTTTGATAAAATGAGTACAACTTGAACACATAAATAATATTATACAAATAATAAAAAAATATTACAATTTTTATTAAATTGTATTATTTTGATATATGTATTTTTGTATTTATTTTTAAAATTTAAAGATGAGAAAATTTAAATGCTAATTTTTAGTTGAGTTGTCACACCAATAAGCCTATGCCAGCAACCATATTTCAATGTGATTTAAATAAAATATACGTTAAAATACGTATTATCCATGAAATAAAAGTTTCAAAAATATTTGGTGTTAAGTAATTGTTATTTTGACTTGGATTAATTTTACTTGTCTCCTCTGAATTTCTAAGTCATTTTCACTTTATCTTCTAAATATTGAAAACTCTAACTTTACCCCTTAATTTTTAAATTTATCCCATTTAATTTTAAAAGATCTATTAAAATCACACAAAAAAAGAGGGGGTTAAAGTATAGGCGTTTATTTGTTTATTTTTAACAAAAATTCAAACAGAAAGACAATGTGATTGTATTACTCTTTTTTATATATATTTTTAAAACATAAATTACAACAAAATCGGTAAATGAGAACAATTTAAAACTAAAGAGGTAAAATGAGAGTTTTTATAATTTAAGGAACAAATTGAAAATGACACTTATATTGTGTTTGATATGATGGAAAAGAGGAAGTAAGAAAGTAAGTGGAGAGATTATTAAGTGTAAAATGATAAAGTGAGTTGTTTGATGGGAAAAAAAAGACGAAGGCAAGAAAAGAAAAATAGAGTGGATAAAAATTATTGTGAGGCTGACTAATTTTTATCTCTCAAACATTACGTGAAAAAATTAAATTCACTCATTAATAATTAAACTAACTTTTTTATCCGTATTTTAAAATTAAATTAGTATTAAATAATTGATGAAATATTCATTAATCTATTACATATATATTTTTTTTCTCTCATCATACTCTAAATACGTAAGAAAATCAACTTCTTTTCTTTTATTCACTTTTTTTTTTTTATGTATTTTCTTTTCGTCCTCTCTTATTAAACGAAGTTTAAAATTCAGAGGCACCACCTATAATAACCTAACTTTTAAAAAGATGGGAGAGATCTAGCAGCTGGATCTAAAAGGGCAATTTGGATGCGTGCCATAAACAAAAGGTCGGAATAAGGACAAGAAACTTTTATTTTGAGTGTTGGTTGTCTTTCAGTTTGGCTTTGGGGTTGCAATGCACTGCATGCGGTACAGACTGTAGTTGATTTGGTAGGTCCACAGCTCTAGCCCCACCAGATTAAAATCCAGTCGTTCATTCTACGGTTCAATCAATCAATCAATATAAGTTTTGGGCTTTTTTTAAAGGATAATTTGACCAACAGAGTAGTGTAGAGGGAACAGATTCTCAAAATTTTATATCAATTTACGCACAATTGACTTGTCATTTTCTTACAGTAGATTAATGTTCAACACTAATTATTTCGAGTTGAGATGTAATTTTATGTGAAAATTTTTTACTGTAGTAAAAAAATTAAATGTGATTGTTTATGAGAACTTTTTACTGTAATAAAACTCGAATTCTAAACTCGAATTAGCGAAATGAACGGAGCCTAAATAATGTGACAATTTTTAAACATCAATGCCAAAGCCAGAAAATTATTTTTAAGAAAGGGGCGGTGAATTAAATGAAAAGTTTAAATTAAACTATAACACAATAGTATTTAGTAATAATGGTTGATTTTTGATTGAATTAAAGTAGCTAAAGCTTGTAACAAGAAAATGTTGTAATTAACAAAACTACGAATAGTCAATAAATTTTTAGGAATTCGGGCAGAACCTTAAGGAGCCCATGCATGGGTCTTGCGGGTAGCTCCGCCCTTGCTTACATGACATTGACATTAATGCTTGAGCGGCTCTTCTACCTCCCAATGCCCACCCTTTATTTAGTGCGCAGATTTAGGGGCTCACAAATGTCTCTTAGTTTTGCTCTATTTTGGACGTTGTCACTAAAAAAGAAAGAAAGAGTAATTGGTATATTTAGTCCTTAAACTTTATATATAGTGACAGTTTAATCTTTTAATCCTTTAATTTTAATATATTAGTCT